CGTCGTCATAGCCTCGCAGGATGTACTCCTTGAAGGGATACACCACCTGAGCCGCTCGCACTCTTCGAGGCACCGAGACTCCGGGGGCGTAATTGGCTTGGCCGGAGGGCGTATTCCTTGAGCACTCGCCAGCAGGCCTTGAAGAAGACCACCACATGCACCTTTGTCATGTTGTCTTCTCAGACTGGGATGTGTGTCCCTTGTAAGGGGGCCCCGGTCCCCCTCAGAGGATGGCGGCGAGGAAGGCCAGGCAGTCCAAAGCGCTCCTCCAGCAGCTCGGCTCCGAGTCTCCCGCCTCCGAGAACCAAAGAGCGACCCCCGACACCACGCCCCTTTTTGGACTTCTGCTCTCGGATTCACGCTGCTCCTACCAATGTCTTTTTTTTCGGAGCCTTTTCTTCTGAAATAGGCCTTTAGGTTCAAACGATCCTCTCGTGGGAATCCTTTGCCGCGGAGGGTCTGTGCAGATGATGGGCTACGGTACACCATGTCAGCTCCCGTGCAGGTGCACCGCCTCAGCGTCTGGTGTCAGCGTAGCCTGCCACATCACTTACATGCTCATGTAGCAGATGGGAAGGAACTCTTGCCTGCGGGCTGGCAGCTCTGCTCATGCTCCGCACTGAGGCTCAACCCTGGCGGCTTTTCTGCCGAGACATGTCAGCTGCCTGCCAACTGGTGCTGTTGCCAAATCGAAGACTGGTGTGTCGCAAATTGTCTACGAGACGAATCAGTTCAATGTTGATCTAGAAAGCCAATAGATTCTCAACAGATGCAGGGGTTGGGGAGTGACACGAGGTTTGACACATCCCAGAGCGGATAACGACTTGCTGGTGATCTCTGTAAGATGTGGACCGGGTTTTTTGATGGAGCTGTGAGCCATGCCAGTGCGCAAATGATCCTTTTGCTTCCGCAGGACGCCGGAGCAGGCCAAGCCTGACACACTCTCAACAGGAACTGAAACACATGCTTCCGCAGCAGACGAAGCAACACCTATGGAGGAAGCTGTGCCAATACAACGGTATGCACTGCAAACGGTGCTTGAGCGCAGGCGAACATGTTGTACTATAGGTGAAACACTGCTCCAAGCCGGGCTTGGGGAGCATGATCTGCACATGCTTTTCTCCGAGTCAAACAACAAAGGGTGGCAACACCTCAGAACCTAGTGTCTAGTCAGGAAACTGTCTGGTCGCATGCGCGCATGCTGACTTGCCTTGCAGCAAAACCTCTATGGTCTGTGCCCGAAGCGATGTGAAAGCTGGAAGGCCCCTCACCGGTTGCAAGGGGCTATCTTTGACAGGCGGTCCACCCAGAAGGTCATGAATCCACGCTCCCTCTGAGTGGAACCTTTGCACAACGGTCGGTAACGGTCGGTAACCGGTAACTCCTTGGGTAGGGTCTGATCTGGTTGTGTCATCGATGCCTACGTGCCTCCAAAGCGCACGGAACACTGCGCTAGCTTGGAGTCAAATTAGGCACATGGAGTTCGTGAGTCTTGTTGAATCTGTCTGCCTTACATGAACCTCCTTCAATCCGAACTCCACTGTACCATAGACTGGGTACGGTCGGCTCACTTCATGAGACCTTGCTGAAGGGCCGTCATCCAAGTGCTGGCTCACCAACACTGTGCGACCGCAGGAACTTGGGAAGCTGCTGCCGATCCAGGGTCATGCAGGTGAGAAGGCCTCGCCGTGTTTTCATGCCCATGCACACAGCAGAAAGCCTGAAGCACAACCGCTTAACATCGCATGACACAAGACCTCCGACCTAAGAGCAAGACACGGCATGATCAGGAGCAAATCCGGAAACATCAAAGACGCCAAAAAACACGCGGCAGGAGAGATTGGCAGCTGCCCGCTGGCCACATGCATTGGAGGATAAGACCCACTGACGCGGATATTTAGAAGCACCGAATAAGCGGATGACTATGCAAACCAGAGAGTTGCACCCAAGGCTGCTCAGGCTGCTCAGTCACAGGTAATACCAGCGGGGCAAAGAACGACGCATGCACGAGCATCGATGCGGAGTCAAGGACTGGTCGGAGGCTTGACAATCTGAACTCTTTTGCTGGTCGTTGATGCTTGGAATGCTGGAGCCGGAGTCTGGCTTCTTTACGCATGTGGGTAACTGTGCGCTAGACGTCTGCATTGGTCAGAGTGTTTACGAGAGCTCTCTTTTAAACAAGTGCATGCCATTACGAAGGCCCGACCGCAAACAACAGACATGATGCATATTCGCACTGCCACCCCGCCTCAATACACGAAAGATGTCGTGTGCGCGTTGTACGTTCCAGGGCCAGGCGTGACATAGCTGTCCAGGTCGTGGACCTAGGACTTGATTCGCGTCAGGTGTCTGTGTGAACACAGCTTGCATACAGAAGAGACCCCCAGTGCATCGGCAGCTGAGGTCGGCGCCCGGCGCCTGGAGGCTGCAGAGTACTTCGGCCCGTTCTTGCCGACCGACATCGCGCTTTGCATGTCGTACCTCTCTGTAGCCGAAAGGCCCAACACAAACCCTTCGAGAAGGAAGCCTTGCAATGAAATCTCAGCGCGGGGAGACGCTCCAGGTCCAGGCAGCATCAGGCTTCTTGCAGCCCCTGTGATATCATTCCGTATCGAAGTGCCGAAGCCACACCTTCCAGGCAGCTGTGGCAATCAACAGCATGACTCATTTGATGCTGCTTGACATAAACCGCATCTAAGGATCTGGCTTGGGATTCCCCATGAGCACAGCACCCAACTTGGGATCGTAGGCTCCAGGACCTGGCGGTGAGCGCGGCAACGTGAGCGATCGTCGCAGCACCCACCATGGCAGAAATCATGCTACCGGCCCGCTTTCTTCTGCCTCCTCTCATGGCTTTGTCATTGGCTGCTGCTGCTGCTGCTGCTGCTGCGAATAGTAGAAAAATCATCATTATCATCATCAACAACAACAATAACAACAGCAACATCAGCCACAGCAACACCAGAATCACAATCATGACGAGACCATGAATAAGACTAAGACTGACAATCAGAGTCAGAAAAAAAAAACAATGAGAATAAAGGTTCGCATGAGGAATAGGAATGAGAATGAGGTTAGTAAGAACACTGATGCAAAAGCGAGTAGAACAGCGATTGGTACTATTATCTAGCAATTTATGTTTACGAAGGTGTTGTAACCCCGAGAAGCCGTGAACTTTTGTACCCCTCGACCCCCCACCCCAACCCCCACCCACCAAGCAAGAGCAGTTGGAAGCGAGACGATGAGAATCAGGAGCAAAATGGCCAATACCGACCACGCCCTGGAATGTTACCGCCATTCGTTCTTGTCGTAAGCATTAAAACTGTTACTACCTTTACTCTTGGCAGCAGCAACCACACATGTACAAACAAATCAAGCCAACCAATCAACCCAAGAAACAAGAGCAGCATCAGCAGCAATCGTCAATGTACATGTGTGGGCCTGGCTGCGATCTGCTTCTCATGTACGAGCTTGCTTTGCGCCTGGCAGAAGAGCCGTGCATGAAGAGACATGGCCACAAGATGACATAAGGCAGCACTCCGCGCCCTCTGGCAGTGAACATCTTCGACTTTCCCAGAGTGCTCCGCTGCTCGTAGGCACCGGGTCCAGGAGCGTTCTGCGTGCAGACATGGCTTTGAGCGGCCTTCTGCGTGAGAAATCGGGAGGGCCTCCGGCAGAGGAGGGCCACGGCCAGCATTGGCACCGGCAAAGCTCACCTGTCAAAGAGCAATCCGTGGTCATGCAGCGCCGCAGCGCCATATTCCTAACAGGGGCCTTGGGGCCGGCAGTGAGGAGAGGATCTCTCGGGTTGTACCTGGCGCAAACGAGATGACGTCCGTTGAAAGTTCGTGCTTGCGGGCTTGTCAAACTTCAGTGCCAGGGTGCGCTCCGGGTCCTGGCTGCTTCTTGGTAGGAAATTCACCTTTCGATTGTAGCTTACACTACGCACCCTCATGAGTGTGTCACGGCCGAGGACCTGACCAATAGCAAAGCGTGTTGCACCACCAAAGCTGAACTTTGGCAGCGACTGGCGGCACAGCGTCAGTCTGAGTCTAGCGTTTGTCCACTTGAGTCAACGCTGAGCCCTTTTTCGAGCTGTGCGAGCTGGGAAAGCGGGTGTTCGTTGCCTGCACAGCTTGGGAAGTCCCTTCCCTTGAAACTAAGAAGACACGAAAATGGCTTGCTGACGCGGTTGTTAAGTGATTGTAATTACGACCCCGGGTGGGCCGGCGTGCGAGAAGCACTAAGGCCATGCGTGCTGGCACATACGCACAATACGCACATACAAATGATTAAATTTAAATCCCAAACCATCTCTCCAGACAGTGCGAATCATAGACGATCACAGAAAGACAGCACAAGAAGATCGTGTGCACCAGAGTCCTGGCCTTGCCTTGCAACTATTTACAGACAGGCTCACCAATGCTGGCTCTGTACATGGACAGCGCCCCTTTGAAACACAATAAGGTAGTGTCTACATGTAGAGCTGTCGAGGTTAAGTCCTGAAGCCTGGGTAGGCCAGTAGAAGTGACGATGAGAGGACACAAGACTGTCGCTGGCTCTCTTTGGGGCTTCATCGGAGGCTGCTGCCGTGGAACTCATGGTCTGAGCGCCCACAAGAAGTAAAAGGGCGGTTGGAGCTTTCCGCTCGGGCAGAGGAGAGCGCACCTCTGACTTGGCTCAAAGCCAAGATGGAAGAACAGAAACGAGAATGGAGAAGACTCGGGGCAGTGACTGGGAATTTGAGGCCTAGGTCTAGGACCCTGCCGGCTTGGTACCGAGGATAACCGAAGCATGGGGGGTTTTGCTGGCTCCCTCTGCAGTGTCCGGGGCGCCGTACTTTGCAGCTCCATCTGTGCACTCAGATAGGGGCAGCCATCTCCGCCGCTAAACGCCAGTGCGAGCTCTGTCACCTCAGTTTTCCCCGCACGGATTCCTCTGAAATGTCAAGTCAGCAGAGCTTGCTGAGCTTCCCACGTGAAGCGCTTCTGCGCTTCACTTCATCGCTGGTAGCGCTGGTTGCGGCCACCGCGGAAACGCTGCTGGCGGTGCGGCGGCACGGTCTGCTGCTGCTTCTTCTGCTTGTTGGACTGCTGGTGGCAGTTCTGCTGGTAGTACTGCTGCTGGGGCGATTGCTGCTGATACTGCTGCTGGTACTGCTGATTCTCACCTCAATGCAGGAAGCGCAAGTCACAGCACCAGATGAATCCCTATCGGCTTCGACTTCGCATGCTCTCTACCACTTGGTAGAATTGCATTGCATCCTCACCTCGCGCTTACCTTTTATCATGCCTGTAGAGAGAGGTGCGGGACGACCGTTTTCAGGTCCGGACTTGGCCAGCTCTTGTAGAAGCGGTGAGCTCCCAAGTCCGGGGCCCTCAGGCAGCGCTGAAAATACGTGCAGAGGTCAAGTGTGGGAGCCATACCCATTGGGATCCCTGCAGCGTGTGCAGCAAAGCTTGGCCGTGCTTGGTCTTCGAGATGGGGCCAATGTTCTCCTCGGGCAAGGCACTGGTTACCCTGTCCGAAGAACTTTGGGTGGCCTACTCGTGAAACGTGAAACCGATGCACCTTCAGGAGGCTTCGAATCTGCTTCTCCAGGATAGGATGACGCTGACAAACCTCGAAAATGACAGGATATGACAGGCAGGTGTAGCACACACACACACACCAGTTGACAGATCCAGCCGTTTTGCCTATCCAGCCGTTTCTCAGCTGCTGCCAAGTGACATGGAAGAGGCTCTGGCACGCAGCGAAACCTGGGCTACAAGAGTTGCTACCGTCACCTCAGCATATGATTCGACACATCTGGGACCAAAGCCTTTTTGCATGGTGGCCATATGGCCAAATGTGTAGGGGTGGCAGGCCAGCCCCACGGCGAGAAGAGTGCTTTGATACGCATTTGCATGAATGAGAACCTGCGCAACGCGCACTTCTCCAGAAGGCCACAGCTTGCATCACCTACGACTGCCTAGGCAGTGGCCTTGTTGAGCACCCCGCATCCGCTCGGGTCGACTGCAAACTGATGAAGGTGGTTCAAGACCACGTTGGCCTGGAAGCTCTTTAGTCTTGCTGTGTTCACTACTGCATGACACGCAAAACAGCGCAAGGAGATGAGGACACTGGACAGATGTAGCTGCGCCATGACGAAGCCCCTTGAAGCTGAAGACTTTATTGGTCAAGGCAACCTTTGAAAGCCAATCACATGCAGCTGCAGTGTGCACCAAACAGAGATGCCAAATTGGCGAAAGTCTTGCCATCTGTCATCTTCAGGTAAGCCCAAGCTTCTTTACATCTGAACTCCAAGCAGACCTAGTGGCCAGCGACGATTGCAACAACACAACAACTCACGAGACCGGCTGCATCGTTTGGATAAAAGTGTCGCGACAACTGGTAAGGAACATACATGGCGGTTTCTGGATAGCTTTTCGGCTTTCAAGAGCTGCCCCTTGCAACCCTTTCCTTCACAACGAGGAGTTCACTTGCACTAGGGAAGGGACGATCTCTTGGCAGCAGCTCGGCCCGCCGTACTCCACACAGTGTTGCACGGAGTAGTTTCCAATTGCCTGAGCACACTTTGAGACCCCTGGGCCCCTGGGCCCTGAAGAGGCCTGCACTTAGCTGGGCTCCCCACATGACATGAGAGTTCGGCCGTGTGGCGCACGACATCCTTCATGGTCCGTTCTCACGTCTGCCCGACTGGAGCCGCGCACAGCTCTCCACAAGCACTAGAGCCCTTCCTCGATGAAAGGGAAGGAGGACTGCATCGGAAAGAACTCAATGATGCGCTCCAGCACACGGCACGCGTACCTCGAACGGCCAGATGCCAGCGGCTCACTAGCTCATTTTTGTGGTCATCTTTTCCGATGTTAGTCGCCTGTGCTTGGCAATCTCAGACGGGCAGCGCCACCTGACCAAACAAGAAAGCAAACGCAACTTGGTTGGGCAGCGCAGGTGACAGGAAAGCCATACGTCAATTGAGGCTCGGGAAAGCATTGTGTCATGAAGCGATTGAACATCTGGACAAATCGACTGCACTGGTTACACGGCCGCGTTCAACTGGTTCCGGCCTGAGCATTTCCTCGATCACCTGTCAGATGCAGGACTCACGTCTGCTGGCTAGGGCGGAGAAACCGCTGGGCGCAAGACGAAATACAAACGTTCGGAGCTGAGCACCCGGATGGCTTGCTGAAGCACGAAGTTCCCGTGAGGTGATTGGGCAACCTTATTGGCCAGGTCTGAGCACTCCTACCACACTGGCCTTCTCCCCGAGCTGGGATCATGGCCTCGGCCACGTGGCCACGGAGCTGGCGCAGGATTTCTTCTTGCTCTTCGAAGGTGCCAGCCTGCTGAGCAGATTGAAGCTTCCCAATCGATCAGAAGACGCAGCACCGGCAGTCGCTCCGTGCTCGACGGTCGTGTCAGCCGTTCTTTGCCTTCCTTGCCCTCTGCAATCGTGCCTGGAGCAGTTGCTGCAGCTCGCGGCAGCCTGTATTGGCCAGGCAGCTTGCGTTCGCCGAGTTGCACATAGTCACTGCCAAATGTGAATCTGGCCTGCGCTGTCATTGGCTTTGCGCAAGACCTGCCAGTCCAGTCCATGAAGACACGAACAGGAGCCATACCTCCCAACAACTCCCCTGCAGATGCCTCCATGCGGATACCTGGGATGCCTGTGGGAGTTGCGGGAGGCGAGCTGGTCGTGGAATTACTGGACATGGGTGTCGATGCAGCAAATGTGGACATTGACATGGGTGTCGGTGTCGATGCAGTGGTCGGAGTCGAAGCCTGGCATGAAAAGCTGTCGGAGACCCACAGGAGAGGTGCGGACCGAGTCCGAGTCCGAGCCCTTGAACATGCCGAGAGGGCGGCAGATGCCGGAAATGCGTAGAACACCTTGATGGCACTGCATGAAAAAACGGCTCTGAAGCCTTATGCCGTATCTTATGAAGAGCCGGGACAAGCGCTTTTGGAAACGTCACCCACCCTGGATGGACGGCAAATCCACCAAATCCTGCAGGCAGTCGGCGGAGTTTGTGTTGGTGTCGCCCAGCATCTGGCAAGATTACGTAGACGTAAAGCATACAAGGAAGTTGGAGCACAAGTGGTTGGATCCAATCGTCCTGAAGCTGTCGCCATGTTCATGTTTACGTTCATGTTCATGTTCATCATGGCTGCGTCGAGGTCAGTCACAAGCGGCACGGCTTGCAGGCGACCTGCCAGACTGCACTCTGCGCTCTTTTCCAGTCTGGCTGCAAAAAACCGCAAAAAACCTGGAGGAGGCACGAGTTGTTGTGCGGCCTTGGCTGCACGGTTCGCAAGAGGAGCGAAAGGCGAAAGCTCGGGACGTGGGACGGTCAGGATGGCTGATCGGGCCAAGTGGCCGCTGCGCACAAGTGGTGGGCAACTAGGCAAGCTCGCAGGGCTCGCGAGCAAGTTTGAGCCAAGTCGGCTGCGACGCAAACCTGCACGTCCACGTCCACGTGGAGCTCAACTCCAAATTAGGCGACTTTAAAGATCACAACGAGGACTGCTTGCTACCTCTAGCTTAGCTTCGGCTCCTTGCCTTGTACCGGCCTCCACCATGCCCGGTGAGCCTCTGCACAGCACCAGAGACGCGTCAATCAGTGCAGGGAACAGGTCCTGCGAAGCTGAGCCGAAACCGAGGGGCATGTTGTAGGATCCCGGTGCCGGAGTACTGCTGCTGGCGATAAACGTGCTCGGCCTCGCATCACTGTCTTGCACTTCACCACTTCCGAGAGCTCTGGGGCTCCGGCCCCTTCTGGCCGAAGGACCACCTGGCTGCAGGACGACTTTCCGGTTGAATGCTTTCAAGACAAGTCCGGCCTCTGTCCTGTCTTGTGAGTTGAGACAGTGTGCATGAAGGTGGGCCCCTTTTTCACCTCGAATCCCACGACTCCCACGGCAGTCACGACACGCGAAGCTCAAAGCGTAAGCTAGCGGCGCCATCTGTTGTCATACTGGAGAATTGCAGCTTGCTCTTCAGATCATCCGATGAGTGCGAAGTGAAGCCGGGCCTGACAGAAAACTCGGCGAGGCAAGTTCATGTGTTTCAGGGACCCCCTTTCAAAGTCCCCGACGAACTTCGGATGCTCCGGTTCATCGTTTTTGGGGAGGCACTTTGGAAAGAATCCTTGGCAAGGTGAGGGTGCCCGCCAGCGCTCCTCTGCATCAAGCTGCTAATCAAGCTCCTTCTGAGACCCGGTCGAAAGACTGGTCATGATGCATGTCGTGCTGGTCCTGCGATGGCTCTCCCATATCCTTAGCATCACATGCTGCATGGACTGTCACCACGGAGATCTGAAGCCCGGGAATACGACATCTCGGACATCTTTCAGGAGCTTCGCAGCACTGTCCTCTTCTCAGATAGATGTTCTGGTAGCTTGCATGAAGGAGCAAGCCTTTGTTTGCATCTGCTTTCCAAGCTGACTGACGTTTCGGCCTCTGCATCAGCTTCGTCAGCATGCACTGGGTCGCGATGCGGAACTTCCGGTGGTGCATCAGGTGGACCGTCTGCTGCAGCATCATTGGTTGGCTGCTGCCCAGCTCCGGGCAACGTCTCGTTGTCTTGGCTTGCACTTTGCGCGTGCTCAGCTAGTGCCTGTCCATGACAGGAGCGCGCTGCAGTGCCCTCGAGTCTTGCAGACATATCTCCCAGCCTGCGAGACCGCCTCATCATGGTCGGCGGCTACAGCATCGACATGTTCTGCAAGCGCCTGCTCAATGGCAGTGCCCTGGAACAAGGCATGGCCGCCAATTCGTGGAAGCTGTGCAAGGCATGACCGCCCCAATGGCCTGCTCTGCAGAGTGTGGCTCCTGAAGTATTGAAGCAGGGCAAGGCAAAAACATCATAAGGAACGCCCTTTGGATGAGCCCCAGCCTCCGCTGGAGTTTGCGGAGCCGCGGGATCGGCAGGCGGCTCAGCCGCTTCTGGCGGCTTTGGAGGCTCCGCACCCGCTGAGCTTTCTGCTGGCGACTCCTTGCAGAGCGTAGACAGATCTGTCCCTGCCGCCCAAGGTCCCAAACCTACACTTGGCACCTCTGGCGGAGAGGCGTGCTCTGCTAGTGCTTCGGAAACCGTTGCACGGTTGTCGGCCTGGCAATTGGATACGCAAGACTTGGAAAGAAACGAAACAAAATCCACCTCGTTGGCATCTGCGTGTTCGACAAGGGCTTGCTGAACCACCTCAAGGGGCTGGGCAGAGCTTCAGCGAGAAGGCGAAAGCCTCAGCAGGGACCCCTGCGTTCTCTGCATTACCTTCCTCGGCCGCAGAAGGCCGATCTGCCTCGCTGTCAGTTCGAGCAGGAGGCTTGATGGACAAGGACAAAGAGGTGTGACATGGTGTGATGGTGTAGCCATGTAGCCCTTCCGCTTTATCCTTTCTTGGCTGTGGAGCATATGCTGGTACAGCCGCTACAGTTAGAGGAGCCGTACGGTTCCAGCTCTGAGAGCGGAAGCTCCTCCCTGAAGCCAACACATGTACGGCTGCATACATTGGGCCTGTGCAGATTCTGCCGGCGCCGCTGGCTCACCAGGGACACTTTCTGCGACAGGATCCACTTGCGAAGCCGATGCCTGCGATGCCTGTGAGGCAAGGACCGGCACGAGGCGTACATCGAAACTGCAGAATCATGTTCATGCCTCGGCTCCCGCTGTCTCCGGAGCCTATGTCAAGGATCCACATTTGACACACTTTCGCCCATTAAAAAGGATATAAGATGATATAAGTCTTCGGCAGCTGCCGAGGGCTCCTGAGCCTCAGCCTGCTGCGGAAACTGCGAGCTGTGACGACACCGCTGGAACGGATGAAACGCACCTCGTTGCCGGCTGGAGAAGGCTCAGGGTCCCGTGGAGGCTCCGCTGCCTTGCGGAAGGTCGCGCCAGGCCCCGCTCTTGAGACCGCTCGCATCCGCGTCGTGCCTCGTTTGTCTCTGCCATGGCTGGCACAGTGTGCCTCTGCGACGCAATGTGAACGGTGTTGACTGCTCCTTTCTCGAGGCACTGCTGAGCCACGTACCGTTGCCCCGTGGCTTGGGATGGAGAGATTGAGCCGAAGAGAGCACAGGATGAGTTCGTAAACACGGCCCGGGGAAAGCCAAGACGACAGCCAGCTGCAGTTCTGACAGAGTCGCAAAGTGTGGCAACAAGTGTTTTCCGAGCGACCTGTGAAACAAGCTCTGCGCTGGCTCGGATCTCACAGTTCGCCCTTCTTTCCCTTGCCTCTCCTGCTGTCTGAAGCAATGCCAGTGTGAGATGCTGTGGAGTCTGCTAGAGCCGTGGCCTCGGAGCTTCGCAGCGCCCGGCCTCACGGCCTGCGGGGCACTTCTCCGCTTTCGCCGAAAGCGGATCCGCCCAGGTGCTACCAAAGTACAGACTTTGCGGAGGATCTCGGAGAACTCGGCGCCGTCCTGAACCGGACATCTGTCAGGTCCAAGTGAGAGTTTTGACCCCAGGGCCCCAGCCTCCTTCATCTCCACGGCTTGCGCAGCCATCTCTGCACCGTTCCGGCCAACTGTGCTCTCACAGGCAATGAAAACGGCCTTCTCAGCAACGTCGTGTCCAGGGAAATCTAAGGTCACAAGACTTCAACAGGCCTCATTCCGCACGTGGTAAGTGTCTACATCCCTCTCCGTTGGTCTGAGTCGCCACAACACCAAGGGATACTGCAGGCGAGAGATGTCTGAGCCTGGTACAGGCGCTCGCTCTGCTCCAGGCACCACACTGGACCTTGCTTGAGCCCATCCCCGAGCCAGAGCTCTGCTTTCGAAGTGAGCCCCGCGCCGCTGGTGCCGGCATCAGATTCCTCCTGGCCGAAGAAACACACCGGGCGCACCGGGCATCCTCAAGGTGCTGGGAAGCCCACAGAGGCTGGTGCACATTTTCGTGCGGACCATCCCCTGCAGAGCTGCAAATGGAAGTACGGATGCTGTGCTGGAGCTTGGCAGCCAGTCCATTCTCAAGGATCTCTTTTGCAGCTTCCTGATAAGATCCGACGGACATCCGGCTTGGCACCTTCACCAGCCGGGCCTTCTGTCTGTCAGGACAGGGCGCAAGCATCTGGCGGCACGAGTCGGCGCGAGAGTGCCACGGGCTGCAAGTATCTGGTACAGATCAGGAGTGCTCTCAGTTTGAGCGCGGTCTGCACTTGCCTCGATCATCCAAAAAGCAGCAACTAGAACTGCTCGACGCATGAAAATGCCATGCTAAGAACTCGGCGGTATTAGCATGCCTGGCTCGCTGCAGACATTGCGACGAAACACCAGGCGTTTCCCGGCTTCGAGCATTGGGCCTGAATCGGCGTCAAATTCTCGGCCTTCAAGGACTTGGTCGAAGTCGCGCCTTCAGGGCCACTGAAACTCAGGAGCTCATGACAGTCATTCCCGAACGGCACGTGCTCCCAGTCAAGTCCGACTCAAGGAGCTGCGCTGCCCAACCCGTGCACTGTGCTGCAGCAGGGCAGCAAGCTATCGTCTTGTCTGCTTCGTCGGCCCTGTGCTGGGTGCTACGTAACAAAGCACGATAACAAGGCCTGGAAGGCGAACGCTGTAGCGGCCATCGCAGCTTCCAGCACCCTCGCAAAAAAGGTCGGATCACAAGCAGCTACATGGTCCTCTTCCATTGACATTCCGTGCCAAACGCTGGCCTCGACTGTTCCTTCAAGCCCATTCAACTTCTGACCAGCTTCACCTGGTGTCTTGAAAGGCTGGCAGCTGTCAGAGTGTAGCGTCAGGAGGCCCGGGCTCGCCAGGTTTTGGACCTCTGACACAGGTGTGTCTGGGCAGATCACCGTCGTCCTCCGCTGAGAGCCGGGCGCGAACCCTTTGGCCCGGTGCTAACAGCGGAGGCTCCTGCGCCTCATGGCTGGGGCCGTCGGCGCTGTTACCCGCGCCGGCCTCCTCCGGTGCCCGACCTTTCTTGAGCTCCGACACAAGACAGTTCCTTTACTTTAAGCTCAACGAGGGTTTGTAGGGCACCCGGCTGTCCGGAAGTCGGATCAAAATGATCGTCTCGTTGTCTGTTCCTGCCGGGGACGACATCAAAACCTGAGTCACTGCCGTGTGCCCCAGCCTTCTTCGATCGGTCTGCCACGTGATGACCTGGCCAGACTTCAATAAACATTAGATACATCTGTCTAGTCTCTTCGCGAACCCCGAGCGGCAGACCGAGCACAGCATGCGTGGAGCACTTCCGTCCTTACGCGCGTGCTGAAGCACAGCTCGCGCACATGGCAACCGGTGATACAGGCAATGCAGCACACATTCACCAGGCGAAACACGCAATCTGTTCCAAAGGCATCGCATTCTTTAGCCGCGGCCATATAAGATTCGCTATGTCCTCCATGTCCACTTGAGTACAACATGCTTTGTCTGCTGTCAAAAAAGACGAAGTCACGTCTGCGGCCTGATTCGAACAGCGCTCGAACAGGCCGTCGCAAGCGAGGACCAGAAGCTCTTGCGGCCTCAACTTTTGGGTAGCATCTTGTTGCTAGTCCGGTCCTGACCTCTATAATACCTCACCCTGACAGTGATGGTCTCCTTCCGTCTTTTCGTGTCCCTTGTTTCATGCGGTCTTCAAACGAAGCTACCCATCACAACGTAAAGTGTAAGTGGAAGCATAAGCCCGGATTAGTTGAATTGACTGCCCACAGCCAGCCCAAGGCATGCCCAAAGCTCAAGACCCAAGACATGACTGCTCCCCAAGATCATCGGAGAATTAACCGTCTAGGCATTTTGCATGTTGGTTTGGCGAAAATGTTCAGGTCGCAGCAAATCTGTCCGAACCTACCCCGGCCGGAGAAAGGCCGACGGTTTTCCGTGGCGCCCACCGACAAGCAGTGAAACAGATCTTGGCGGTGATCAGATCCATCCCGACCGCGCACATTGCACGAATCTTTTGTGGGAGCAACCGCCTCCGCCCAAAAAACTCAACGTGACTTATGTTCAGGAAGCTGTGTCTCAAGCATGACATGAACCTTCGGGACGTGCGTGCCCGTCCGTCACGATGCAGGTGCAAGGTGTCAGTCAAGGCCAAAAGCATCTGTAGCTTCCCGGTCAGCGGCAGCATGGTAATTACTTGCTGTCATCGACATACTGGATTTGGAATGATTTGGACATTCACGAGTTGTAGCATGTTGGAACAAACCGTATGCTGTTTTTTGCACCGCCTCCTCGTCGCAGATCTTGCAGCTCAGAGTCGCAGCACCAAACATGGAATCGTATGAAATGGCACATTCCAAGACACCCAGAACAAAAAATCTCTCCATTGGACAGTGTGCCACCTTTGTTGCATTTTTTAACATGGCCCAACCAAGCATGAAACCGTCGCCACGCAGAATCAACTTTCGTGCTGCACAGAAACAACCGTGCTGTGAATTCAGTTGATCAATAGTTGCCTCCCTGTGAGTTGGTGTGCCCGCAAGGACGGGGGAAGGCACGCTCGGTGTAGGGATCAACTGGTCTGTGGCGGAATGCAGCAAGTATGAAGAAGAAGCTCGCGCCGGAGGTTGCCTCTGCAGTTTTGTTCGCCATCGGGCACATCTCTGCGATGGGCCCGGCGCCCTTCGAGAATGTAAATAGACAATCCAAGTCTAACTCGAGAGGGATCTCCGCCTATGATTGGAGAGCATCGGGAAGGCTTGGAGGCAGCCTACGTCATAACTGTCACGGTGATAGCAAGCCTGGGTGTGACATCTGCTCAAAACTGTGTGTGCGAACAGCCGGTTCCTGACGCGTCTGGATGACTCGATCTAGCAACAAGGACAAAACAACCCTTACCCACTTCTCTGCACGTGTACACGGACGGATCCGGCGGAGACCGCAATGCGCATATGGCAGGGTGGGGGGGGTTAGTGATTGTTGAAGAGGAACAAACACAGGTGGAAGAGGATTTTTGGACGGAGGGAGATCCATGGCTTGCGGAGTTGTGTGGCCTTGTAACCACACCGTCACATGATCCGATATGGTTGGGCGCCACGACACACTCCAACAACACGGGGGAACTCACGGCAATAGGGGAGGCATAACGATGGCTTCTGGATGTGTGCAATCGTATGCCGGAGGTTGGCCACGTGTAATCTATATCCAGTATAAGATTCAGAATATGCGAATGGTGTGGCCACACCACTCTTTCGAGCTCAGGACAATCTTCCACTAGAGGAAATTGTTGTGTTGCAAGCCTGGTGAGTGCGGTACGCAGGAAATTTCGAGTAGTGTGAAAATACGTTAAGGGCACAGTGGCAACAGAGGAAACGACATTGCAGATGCAATGGCAGCCCGGGGGCCACCAGGACGGGTTTCGCCGCAGTGTTTGCTGGCTTTAGGAAACCAATGGCGAGCTCCGGCTGCTTTCTCGGACACGGACGATGGCGGGGGCAAGCAAGGGGGCAGCAAAAACTCGCGTTCGCCGTGCATCTCACGCCATGTATGACTTGGATAGCAAGTCCCGGAGCTTAAGGAACACCGGGAGGACACATACAGCTGCCTCACTCGCCTTGAGCTACAAGCAGAGCGAGAGTTCGCTTACAAGTTTCTCAAGGTGGAAAGCTCGCCGGCCCTGGAAGAACTGTTCAAAAGAGTTGCTGACGGCTCCTTGGCCAGGAGCGAGTTACGCAAGGAAGGGCCGGTGCGGTCGTGGAGGAGGTGGCCACTGCACTGGCCAAGGAGTGTGACGAGACAGCATTGCAAACACTTGCCAGCGAGCTCGAAGTCGTTTGCAAACGGGGGAACCGTCCATACCGTCCCGGCTGTTGCACGAGGCGGCACGCAAGGAGCTTAACTGGTGCCTCTTCGTTTTCGGGCGGGTGGCCGGCGGCAACTCCCCAAGCTGCGTGGCCCAGTCACCCGTAGACAGGAGAAAGGAAAGAAGGGAGGAGGCAAAGGCAAAGGAGAGAAAAGGGAAGGGCTGCGCGAACTCCAGCGAGGGGCAAGACGTTGTCTGGCTGCACATACCTGTGTTTTGAACTGCCACGCTGGACGGAGAGACTGCTTGCTGTTTGTGCATGTACAAGATTGTAGTGTTGTCAGCTGTGGGCTGCAAATAGCGTGCTCTGTCTCATAGTGAAACGCAAGACTGTCGTATTTCTGAAACTGTAGTTGGCAAAAAGGCGCACGTGAGTATGCCCTTCCCCTCGGGGCTCGTCTGTCCGTGCGTGGTTTGCGGCTTTTAGCGGGTACATTTCCGTTTCGTGTCCCGGTGCGTGTCCTTTGCGGCGAATGCCCAATTCATCTTTGCTGTCCCCACGGTCGGGTTCTGTTGTGCTCACTGGTACCGCCCAAGCCGGGATCTGTTGGCTTAGGTGTCACTGATCGAGCTCTTCTTTTAGCTTGTTTGACAAGAACTTGTTTTTTCCATTCTGATTTGTTTTGGGCGAGACGAAGCCTATCCATTTCTGGGATATGAGCTTGGCGAAGGCATGAACTGAGCCACTGTGCCTGCTTGAAAGGGCATCCAACTTTTGCCTTGTTTCCCTCCACCCAACCAAACATGACCTGCTTCTGCGGAGAGTCGGTTGGAATTCTTGCTACGTGTCCTAGCCACAGGAGACTAGCCCGTCGCACTGCCATGTCGAAGTTGTCCCATTATACCATGTTTCGCATGATTTCGTTGGTGATTCCCGATTGGCGTAGCTCTTTCAGACGGCACCCCAAATTGCATCGTCTCCCCATATGTATCATCCGTGGCATGCGGCTGATCTGGTTGGTTTGCCATGAGCGGGTGCGTGAGAAACTCATGAGTGTTCCTTTTCCTACTGAGTTGAGATCTCTGATCCCGCGTAGAGGTGCTCAGATCCTTACGTTTATACTGTTCGGTGCGTCTCGGCCAAGCTCCTGACATCTCCACCGCCGGACTGGCTGCTTTCTGTGCACATCTGTGGGTTTCCGCCGCGTGGCCGCCTGTT